TGTCGATCGAAATGGTTAAAGCAGCAGTAGGATAAGATGGATTCCTTATGTTTGTGAGCGCACAAATGCAGAGAGAATTTGGCTTGCAGGCAGGGTTTCTAGATCAAGATTCATACATCCAATTAATTGGTAACGTCTGCTTAGGATTTTTTTTCCGGTGTTGTAGTGTTACTGACAACAAGAGGTTGGCGCTGTTCATTCGTAAGTAGAGCCTCAGTCATATTTGGAGACAAGTAATGCTATATTGGAAGCATGCTAGAGCAGAATCATAAATTTAGTTTAGGATTATTTACACAGTTTAATGGCGACAAGGATGCAGAATTCAATTTTTGCGCATATGATTGTAAATATGAACAACCTAAATCACCTAAGTAGCGCCTGTTTCATAGTGCTGCATAGCAATGCAGCATCGACCTCCTTGCTACGTTCGTGTGGCACAGCCGCGTGTCAGAGTGACTTAACACACTTGACTTTACATTGGAAATAAGGCTTTATAAATTTTCTTTTTTTCTTTTTTTATTCAGTAAATGAATAGGTTCCTGCGATGGACTGGCGACCTGTTCAGGGTGTACCCCGCCTCTCACCCATTGACAGCTGGAGATAGACACCAGCACCCCTCGCGACCCCAAATGGGACAAGCGTGTCAGATAATGGATGGATGAATAGGTTCCTCTTTTGTTATATCTTAAATGTCTAATAATGTGTAAAAAACATATTTTGCTTATTCAGTATTATAAACAGCTGGGATAATAAAATGTTAGTTGTATGTTTTAAAAGAAAATTACTGCTTATCAATTAATCGTTACTCAATCGATAAGATCATTTACTTTAGATTATTTATTTTGTTGATTAATAAATTGCATCCCTAGTCCCAAACTTTAATCCTAAGGAAACAATACAGTGCAATTATAGATTTGTATTTGCTTAAAAACACTTGATCACATAACAGTGATTATGAGAGCACTGGGCAAATTGATTAAATCGTGAGAAGTTACACAGCACAACAATAGGGGAAATTAAAATAAAAAAAATGCAACTTTCTGAGTCACTTGTATGAATAAATCATTGTTATATGTGAGCATTTGACTACAGAAATTTTTGTCCAAGACAAGTGGTGACTATTTGATTTGCTTTTTAATGGTCTCACAACAATTTCTTCACATTTTAAAGTCTCCCCTAGATCTGAAGGTTGGGGGTCTTTAAAAGGTACAGCTACAAAAACAGTCAAGTCTGTCTTAGCAGATCCAGATAGTTTTCTGGAAAAACAAAAACAAAAAAAACGTGTGCTTAGCAGCTGTTAATCTTAAATTTCATGACAATATTTGGTGTGAATAAGTGTCAAAAACCCAACTTTACATGCAGTGTCAATTCAGCATTAGATCAAGCGGGTGTGGATATTTTAGATGTAGGACTCTGGCTCTTAAGGATTAGAATTTAAGGACCCCTTAAACAGTGTGCACAGTAAAGGAGCAGTTGGAGTATAACTTTTTTATTTCTGCAGCTCCCTTTGAGTCTTTGCTCAGTGCAGAATTAATCCAAACAAAATCCAGCTTTCAATATGGGAAATTGCATCCACAACACAAAGAGCAGCTTAAATACCTCTTTCAAGGGTTAAATACCTCATTTATGAAGCAGGATAACAATTTCTGTCATTTTTTCTAGTACAGCATGACATAGAATCATGCAAAGAAGCACATTTTAAAAACAAAAGAGGACATAACCCTAATATTAGTTCACCTCTTTAGAAAACTGTCCCACAGCAGCATCATTAGCAGAAATTAGATGGGTGTTCATTTAAGGCTGACGTGCTGAAAGACATTTAACCTCGTGCTGAAGCCAAGAAAAGTGGCCAGCAGGTATTCCATGAGTAAGAAAATTATATTAGAAAGTTTAGAAAAGAAGAAGTGCACAAGGGCATCTACATATAAGTAGGGTGAATAGTAAGTTTCGATCTAGTTTGTATTTATCATGTAAGTTTCTAAATGATTTTATTTTCCTCACTTAAAACAAAATGACATAAATGGTCAACAGGTAAATTAAATCCATAATTATACACAACCCATATTGTACAAATTGGAAAAAGAAGTTCAAGAAGAAGTTCAGCTAATGTTTATTTCTTTGATAAGGTAGTTTGAGAATTATTTAAACACCCTCATCAGACATTTCAAAATAAATACATTCATCTTTATCATTTAAATATATTTAAACTTTACAGAGTCTTCAGAAAAATGTTAAAATCTCCTCACATCCCTAATTTGCTGTTGCACACTTCACTGTAAAAAAAGTCAGTAAATTTACGGTAAAAAAAGGTAAAAAACCAACAGTTTTTGACCGTCGTATCCAAAAACATTGCATTACCCTAGAAATTACATGGAACTACCGTAAGTCGAAACTGCAAAGAAAGTCAGTAAATTTACGGTAAGAAATGGTAAAAGACCAACAGTTTTTGACCGTCGTACCCAAAAACGTTGCATTACCGTAGAATTACATGGAACTACCGTAAGTCGAAACTGCAAAGAAAGTCAGTAAATTTACGGTAAGAAGTGGTAAAAGACCAACAGTTTTTGACCGTCGTATCCAAAAACATTGCATTACCGTAGAAATTACATGGAACTACCGTAAGTCGAAACTGCAAAGAAAGTCAGTAAATTTACGGTAAGAAATGGTAAAAGACCAACAGTTTTTGACCGTCGTATCCAAAAACATTGCATTACCGTAGAAATTACATGGAACTACCGTAAGTCGAAACTGCAAAGAAAGTCAGTAAATTTACGGTAAGAAATGGTAAAAGACCAACAGTTTTTGACCGTCGTATCCAAAAACATTGCATTACCGTAGAAATTACATGGAACTACCGTAAGTCGAAACTGCAAAGAAAGTCAGTAAATTTACGGTAAAAAATTGTAAAATGCCAGCAGTTACTGACCAGAATATTCACAGCATTATACTGCCGTAGAAAATACATGGCATTATCATAACTGAATAAATATATATCCTAAATAATTGTGACAGTCACAAATGTAGAAAATACAGAAATATAGTGTAAAAATATAAGTAATTGTAAAGTTCTTAAAAAATTGTAATATTGCCAGCAGTTAATTACCCTAAACTTAACAGTAGCAATCAGCCAAAATTACAAATTTTGCTGATGTTTAGATCTACAATGTAAAAGCGTAAACAAGACTGCAAAATAATTTTTTACAAAGAACAGAATGCTGGTGTGATATTCTGGTTTCTTTTTTAATAATGCCTTTAATACACCAAACTGAAATCTCAGCAGTAGACCAGGCATCGATCTGGCGATCCACCGATTGCAAAGCAAACTCCTACAGCCAACGCCACCATCACTTATGAGAGTATTTGATCATTAACATTAAGAGAACTGTATGTTAGCCCCTCTTGCTTGAATGAAGCTGAAGTTGGTTTCCAATTGCTGCTTCCAATTTGGGAAATGGCTAAAGGGCAATTCCACCTAATTTTTCACTACAATCAGCATCTTTAATTTACTCTAGCTAAAAAACTACAACACCTAGACTCTTCAAATCTGGACTAGATTATTCTCAACTCATATCAGAATATTTAAAACCAAGTGTGGGGTTTGTAAAACCTTTATCTGATTTGTGAAACTTCAATAAAGAACAATTCTAGTGTTATCCAAAATCATACAAGTTGTAAAGTCACCCATCATTGAAGTTTCACAAATCCCACACTTGGTTTTAAATATTGTGCTATTAGTAGAGAATAGTCTAGAGCAGGGGTCCCCAAACTTTTTCCTGCGAGGGCCACATAGCTGTTCCTTTCTCTGCTTGGGGGCCGGTCTTAGTTTTTGGAGAAAGATACCTTAGAAAGTTATTGTCGGCGGGGGGGGGGGGTGCTGTTCTGTCTTTGAAACTGTCGACGGGGGGGGGGGGGGGGTATTGCTGACTACGACACATTCGCGGTCGCTTTTAGATAGATTTTTACCCAGAATGGAAATGGAAAAAACCGTGAGTGAAACGGTGACTGGGACTGACTAGTATATATTTGAGGGAAAGTTAGTTTAACATCTGCTCAAGAGCCCCCTGGTGGTTGAAGAAAAATCCACAAACCAGAAAATACAATATATGAAAAAAATACACTGAATGCTCTCTGGTATGAGGAGGCAGGCCGGATCCAGCATTGCCAGACCAAATGACACAGGCTGTAGTTTGGGGACCCCTTGTCTAGAGAGTTTTTCATTTTGTTATTGTGATAAATAGCAGGGTTTACAGTAAATGGAGACTGTTATTTGTCATGTAAACAAATAATTATCTAGTTTGCATTGCTGCTTGATCCTTCAGCATCAGCAGCAAGATTCTTTTAACTCTGTTCCTGTAGTGGTGTCCTGAACTCAACACAGTAAAGTCACTGTGCTAACTAAGGTTGCTAACTAGGGTGCTGAGAGCCCAGTAGGCCTGGTCCTTGTCAAGATGCTGCTACTGTCTTTGAAATCAAATTTCTGCTATTTTTGCACGTTCAGGAGGAGAAGGGCAACACATCACAGGTGAGTCCCTTTCACGGTTTTAACCAACTGACAAAGAAATGTGTAGTTTCTGAGCCATGCTGTTTATGTATATGCACTGCAGCTATATATTTTTACTATACGGAACATTTAATCTTCACAGATGCAACACTTCCATTAATGTTTCTGTAGGAACGGCTGCATAGATTGTATTTCTGGTCTACTTTAGACTACATGTGCTTAAAGTTATTGTTAATGGCAGAAGCAACTTTTTCCAAGTTTGGTTCAATAATTAATTTGAATTACTTTGAGTGTGAAATGTTCATGCATGCAAGTTAAATCTCTGAAGAACATGTTAGCTTTTGTTTCAATACTTTGGTAATACTTAGAAGTATAAAGCTTGGCATCAGAGATATTATTTAATATTTTCCTTTGACGTCTTGACTCTCACCCCCAAAATACTTGCACTAAAGTCACTGGGTCCATGACAGTTGAAGGATTTTAAAAAAAGGGAATTTAAATATTAATATTTTACAGCTTTTCTCAGTTTGGGTGCATCTCTCAGAACAGAATTGAAATTCCTAAAACTACCTGTTCAATCTTCAAATTACTGTGTCACTTCTGCACATCAAAAAATTAGTTTTGCAAGTTTTGCTTTTGTACATCATGTAGCTGGTTATGTACACTTCTATGCTTTTATAATTGTAATTTGCTTTTATCGTCTTGATCAAAATATGTTAACCCTCCTGTTGTCCTCGGGTCAAAATGACCCGCCACTGTGTTAACCCCCCCCCCCCCCAAAATCCCCTAAATGTAATTTTTTTAACTTGAGATTTTAAGACTTTTCCTAGATTGGCCCAGACAATAGAAAAAGTTCAGTGTTGCTTTTAGTCTCATTTCCATGTAAGCTGTACAAAAAAAGGTACAAAGATGGTCTTCAGGTCAAAATGACCCGTGAGGCAAATGGAGTTGAAATCAAGGTCACAGAGTTATTTACAAACCATAAAATGTTACAAAGTTTTAGTTGTGTCTCAGATCAATCAGTAGCAGAAGTAAGCAGAGAGTGGAAGGCCAATTTTCCGAGCCACAATGCCACTCAAACTCTTTCACACCTACTCAAGACTGGTGCGATTTGATGACCGTGAATCAAGACCAGCAAGATGTATGACAGACAAACTTGCAGCCATAAGACAGGTATGGGACAAGTGGGTGGAGCGGTTACCCTACCTCTACAATCCAGAGCCTGATGTAACAGTGGATGAGCAACTGGTTCCATTTAGAGGTAATCTGTTTTCATATTTGTAATAAAAGTGATTTTCACTATTGATTTCTTTGACTGTTTTCTGTGACACTGATACTAATCACTGATGCTAATGTCTTTTGTCCAAAGGTTGTTGTCCTTTCCAGCAGTATATGCCCAGCAAGCCAGCAAAATATGGGATCAAGTCATGGGTGGCTTCCGAATCAAGCTATGCTTGGAAAATGCAAGTCTATACTGGGAAGTCAACCAGTGGATGCCCAGAGAAGAACCAGGGGTTGCGAGTTGTGCTTGATGTGACAGAGGGACTGAGGGGTCACAATGTGACATGTGACAATTTCTTCAACTCTTATGAACTCGGACAGCAGCTCCTGAAGAGGAAGATCACCATGGTTGGTACAGTTCGAAAGAACAAGCCTGAGCTCCCACCTGCACTGCTTGGGTCAAAGGAGAGAGAGGTCTTCTCCTCAAAGTTTGCCTTCACACCCACCACCACTCTAGTTTCCTACCTCCCAAAGAAAAACAAGAATGTAGTTCTTCTGAGCACACTGCACAAAGACGGCGACACTAGTGACCGTGAGGACAGGAAGCCAATCATTATCCTGGAATTCAACCGAAACAAAGGAGGTGTGGACAACCTAGATAAGGTGATTGGAGCATATAGCTGCAGAAGAATGACTGCCCGCTGGCCCCTGGTCATCTTCCACAACATCATTGATGTGTCCTCCTACAATGCCTTTGTGATTTGGATAGAGATCAACCCAACCTGGATGTCTCATAAGCACAACAAGAGGAGGGTGTTCCTGGAGCAGCTAGGAAAGGCACTTGTAACTCCACTCATTGAAAGAAGGAAGCATGTCCCCCGCACAGAAGCCTCAGCAGCAGTTGTGAAAGCTATTCAGAGTGCAGCAGCTCCTGATCAACCTGAGGATCCATCTACCACAGCCACTTCCCCAGCTAAGCCAAGTAAGAGGAAGAGATGTCAGTTCTGCCCTCAGACTGTAAAACACATACTGTGTGCTGCAGGTGTAAGAAATATATCTGCAAAGACTGTGCACTTGCATACTGCCCTACATGTGCCAATTAGATGAATGGGTTATGTTATTTTTCATATTTTTGTATTGTACATCCTCTTGTTCACTGGAGAAAAGTAAAAGAAAATTAGTCACTGTGATGAATAAAAATGCATTCGAAACTCATTTTGCACATTTTTTTTCTTAAGCTATAGAAATTCAAGTGGAGAGGGAAAACTCAAGTATTCACACATTTTGTGGTGAGTGACAATATACAAGATAGAATTTGGTGTTTAAAATTCAATTAAGCTGCTTATATTGGGGGTTTAGTGAAGACGGGTCATTTTGACCCGGAGGATAAAGGGTGTATACAGAAAATGAGGACAACAGGACAACAACGTGTCTGTGTTGAATTCTCAACTTCCAAAATAGCATCAGTTCATTGTGTAAGTCTTAACATGCATAAGTCTTAAAGTTGTCATAATGTGAATCATATATTAATTAATTTATATTCTATTATTTTCTAAATCTGTCCTGAATTGGTAAATTGCTCCCAAGTGAGTCCTGACTTTCTCTAACAGGTCAGTGTATGAACCATTAGCTCAACCAACGATCAACCAGTTTTCTGAAACAGATTGGAGGTGCATCTTGTGAACCATCAGTTGGCAACATTATGCTCTATATAGTCAGAACACAACACAATGTTACATGTCTGAGAACTGATGAACAAGTATCTGGACAGAGTGAACAGCCAGAGAGAAGAAGAGGAGTGAGGCTGAGGAGGAAATAGTTGGGAGGAAAGCAGAAGAAGAGTCAGAAGAGGCTGAGGACATCTGCCAGTTTCCATCAGTCCAACATCAGGACATGGCTGAGACCCACAACATGACGCTGATGAAGGTCCTCCCACCCTACTGTTCATTCCTTAACCCCACTGAGGAAAAAAGATCCTCAGTGGAGTTAAGGAACAAAGTGACTATGGAAATTAAAATGTAATGTAATTTCTACAGCACTGTACAGTTTTCCTTGAGGAGATTGTCCTGTGGCTCCTTTTCTACTTTTTTTGTTCTCTGCATTTCTGTCTTTTTCTTTCTGAATCACCAAGGCATGGTCCATGAATAAATTATAGCAAAAGCGTAAATCAGTGTTTCTCAATCCTGGTCTTCAGCGTCACCCTGTCCTGCAGGCTTAGGTATTTCCCTTCTGCCACACACCTGAATTGTATCTCTGGATGATTAACAAGCTTCTGCAGTACTTGATTGTCATCCAATCATTTGAATCAGCTGTTCTGGAGTAGAGGCACATCTAAAACATGCAGAGCAGGGGGTGGTGAGGAGCAGGGTTGAGAAACACTGGCGTAAATGATCCTTTTGTAGTCTCTTCTCATGACTAATCAATTTGACTGTCTTATCTGTACATAGAGAGACTATAACTTATTATTTTGAGTCACTGATATGTTAACAGACAGAATTTTAAGAGCTGAACTAAGGATTTTGAAAGCAAACAAATGCTATTTTTCCTGTTTCTACAAATTGTTTTGAGAAATGCGCTTACTGTTTTGTAAATGCCAACAATGACTTGAGAAATGCACCAAAAGTGACTGAGAAAAACTAACCTAGCATAAATTGTCTCAGCTGTATCAATTTGTTTGCCTGTATGAAAAGTGTTCACATTTACAGCTTTGTTTCTGCTAGCTTGCAGGAAATGTAACTTACATAAATGGTTGAAGACAACCTATTGGCCTTCATGAGACTCAGATAAATGGTGAGTATCTATTTCATAAATTGCCTAAAACAGTTATATTTGTTTTTATTTGTTTTTTGTTTGTGTATTTTGTCTGGTTGCAGACCAGAGGATCACACCTGTTGACAACAAACAAAGGTTTAACTACTGAATTTTCAGTCAGAAATGATCGCACCACCTGGTTGAAGTACCTGTGTCCATATGCAAGTCAACAAAGGTGAAACAAACATTTAAGCGAATAAGATGTTCATGTAGTGCATCTTTCTAACTTTTTCTTTTTGTTTTCCAGCAGAGAGGAAACACCCGATTGACAACATGCGAGTCTCAATTTCAACCTGTGACTGGGAAGACTACAACCATCCTGAGCAACGTCTGATCTCAGCGACTTGTGACTCTCAACCCAGAACAAGAATCCTTTTATCACCATTTTGTCTTCTACAATATGTTATCTCTTATGTGGACACATACTGTTTGTTTTGTTTCTGTTTTCCAGATCTCAGTAATACCGTGAGGAAACTGGACAGAAAATAGAATCAGTTCTTTTTTTAACTTGACTTTTTAAATAGAAATTGTTTCTTTAAGTGGATTACTCGTAATCTGTATTTTTGTTTAATTAGAAATTATTTTCTTTATAACTTTCTGTATAGAAATGCTTGACAAGTTACACTTCCTTGTGTGTTGTACTATAATTTGTATGGTAAAATTCTGGTAGGAACAGAGACCAGTAATTTACCATATGTTTTTTTGGGGGGGGAGGGTTTACAATAAAATGTCAATATATCATCCAGTCTGGATGTGTTTTTCACTCATGGAGATATTATGCCTCAGTCAGCATGACCGTATTTACTACGGCAAAACCACATTTTATTTTTTTTTTTATATTTTAGGAAGTACGGTATTTTACCGTATTTTAAAAATACGGTAGAATCCTGCATTTACAAAATACGGTAATAAACTGGCAGCTGTGGTTGCCAGAATTTTACCGTATATTAAAAATACGGTAAAATCCTGCATTTAGCAAATACGGTAAAAAACTGGCAGCTGTGGTTGCCAGAATTTTACCGTATATTAAAAATACGGTAAAATCCTGCATTTAGCAAATACGGTAAAAAACTGGCAGCTGTGGTTGCCAGAATTTTACCGTATTTTAAAAATACGGTAAAATCCTGCATTTAGCAAATACGGTAAAAAACTGGCAGCTGTGGTTGCCAGAATTTTACCGTATTTTAAAAATACGGTAAAATCCTGCATTTAGCAAATACGGTAAAAAAACTGGCAGCTGTGGTTGCCAGAATTTTACCGTATATTAAAAATACGGTAAAATCCTGCATTTAGCAAATACGGTAAAAAACTGGCAGCTGTGGTTGCCAGAATTTTACCGTATATTAAAAATACGGTAAAATCCTGCATTTAGCAAATACGGTAAAAAACTGGCAGCTGTGGTTGCCAGAATTTTACCGTATTTTAAAAATACGGTAAAATCCTGCATTTAGCAAATACGGTAAAAAACTGGCAGCTGTGGTTGCCAGAATTTTACCGTATATTAAAAATACGGTAAAATCCTGCATTTAGCAAATACGGTAAAAAACTGGCAGCTGTGGTTGCCAGAATTTTACCGTATTTTAAAAATACGGTGAAATCCTGCATTTAGCAAATACGGTAAAAAACTGGCAGCTGTGGTTGCCAGAATTTTACCGTATTTTAGAAATACGGTAAAAAACTGGCAGCTTTGGTTGCCAGAATTTTACCGTATTTTAGAAATACGGTAAAAAACTGGCAGTTTTGGTTGCCAGAATTTTACCGTATAAAGACGGTAAACTTCTGGCAACTCAGCTGCCAGTTTTTTACCGTAAAATGAGGCCGTTTTTTTTTACAGTGTTCATTTTCAAGTTTATGATTAAACATGTTTGTCTGGGATCATATCTAAAGTAACCTGAACTAAATCAAATATGCAATTGTTTGTTTTGCATAACAGGGGTCATTCTGGAATTTAGTGAAATTCTTTAAATGCTTTTAAAAAGATTAATACAAGTACATTATTTCTTTGTTAATGTTTCAGCGGACTGCTCATGTGGAATCTTTTAAAATGAGTCATACTGTATATGAATCAGAACAACAAATAAGACTTTTCAAAAGCTTTTGATCACTTCCATTAAAGAAAAAAGTTTAAAGAAGCAATGTTATATTTATATCCTAACTATGTACATCTATATGTGTGAGCAGAAAAAAAAGGACTGAGTGGTCAAAATAAACTTCAAAACATCTTTTAACTTGTCATCCATCTTAATAGTTGCAGTTGTAATCATACGCAAACTCCCGCAGCCTTTCTGCACGTTTTCTCCTCCTCAAACAGCTATCTTTCGAGAGATCCTGATTGGTTGATAAGATGGTTTGCTAAGTCCACCTCAGGCTGTTTAAGCGCCTGCGGCCAATCCCTCTAAGAATCACCTCAGTGAAGGATAAATCTCACTTAAAACTATCCTCCCGTTCTGCCAACACATCTAAACACTCTCAGATCACTTTCAACTGTGTCCTAATGGGAAAGCGAGCCACACCATTACATCACTGCACCCTCCCCCACGTCCGTTGTTTGTACATTTACTCTCCCTGCCTACTCTCCGCAACTATCTGTTCGCCAATTACTGTACGCCTTGCAGCGTGAAACCCGCTCATGCTGCGCTGAAATTCACCCCCAGCTAAGGCTTAACAGAGCACTGGCCACCTGGGCAATCATTTACACCAAGTAGGTGCATCTAGATTTGGCCCACTGCTGGATTTAGATGATCCCCCGCCACACCCACCCCCTTCCTGTGGCCTTGATGGGACCACTGCTGGCCAGGGCAGGCCATCCGGGTCTGGCAAGGCTTCACCAGGCAGTGAGTCTGAAATATGGCCATAGGCCCAGTCTGAGATGCACTGATCCACACTACCAGCTGCCATCTTTCTCCCCTTCCTGCATGCTCCCCTTCCGCTGCTGCGCGGCTCCTCTCTCCTCTCATGTCTATTTTTAGAGCTGGATGATTTCTAGCTTCTAAAATGGGCAAATCTGTTGTAGAACAGCAAGTTGTGTGTATGTGTGTGTTTGTTTTCCTTAAGCATACTAATGCACAACCACATCCAACTTGCCCAAGTGTTACACAAATTCTGACTGGTCCCTGTTAAAGCCACATTCCAACACACATGCATATTCCCATTAGCATTCGACTGCTCTCTGTTCTCCACCCAAGGGAGATGGTTGATGGAAGGTTTGGTTTCAAAACCAAAAAGCACAGCAACAACAGCCAACCCCATCTAAATGCAGCATTTTTTAAGACAGGCACAGTGAGTGCCTCTGCGGGACAGTAGTAAGGTTTCATCTTTGTGCTTCACTTTGATCTGGCTCACCTCTTTCTCATCATTAGCTGCCTATCTGCAGGATTCTGCCTCGAAAATCTTCACTCCATCACCTCTTTCAAGCCCTATAGCAGATATTATACTACAAAACTACAAAAAAAACTACTGAAGCTCCTCACGCAGCACTGGTGACAGTAGCATCTTTTTCAAAGTGCTGGAAGCGTGTCACATTGAAAGAAGCCGACACGATGCTGGCCTCGTTGGCTGTGCCGACACGAAGCTGCATTCCCAAGAAACGAGTGAGATGAATGGAGTAGAAAAAATAGATCCCTAAAGAGGAGGGCGCAAAATGTACTGTAGAAAGCAATGGAAGTATTGGAAGCCACTATGCTTCAAAAGTGAATTCTCCCAGTGTGTAGTAACACTCATACTGTAGGGTGAGAGATGGAGGGAAAAGCTACTTTGCATCTCCCGCAGTCAATCTCCGTCTTTTTATAGGCCAACAACTCAGAAAATCAGGATATGCAGACTTTTGGGATTTTATTCTATTCCCAAGGGTTATGATTTTAAAAAAAAATTTATTTGTGGGATTGCTGAATGAGGAAGTAAGCCAATTAGATAAAACCCTGACTTTGTATGTTACTGCTGAAACTAGGAATAGTTTAAAGTGCCACTTTCCTGGAAAAAAACATTATGTGCATATCTAAACTACATTGTCAATTGCACTGAATATATCAGATTTATTGTGTTCTTAAATTGCTTTTAAAAAGCAAGCCTTATTTCTTTCATTGTTTTTAAAACAGAAAATCAGCAATATTTATAGAAATATATAAAATATATATATGTGGATATCCTAAATTATAGACTACAAAATAAAGATTCAAAAGAAAAATCCTGTCTAATTACACAGATAACCCTACCTTTTTACCTTTCTGCTTTTTATACAGGAGCATACACACTACTGGCATGGAAATCTTTCCAAATGCATCTTTCTTGTAGGTTTAACAGAAAGGAATGAAGTTTTTAAAAAGTTATGCTTCCAAAATTACAGTCAAGACATCTTTTGCCATGCCATTCTGACATTTTGAACTTTCTTTAATGGGATGCCACAAAAAGTGTACTCAAAAGTTATAGTGCTGCCCCTATGGCACCTGAAAATGCACACTGCTTGGCAGTTTACTAAATTAGGGCTATCCTTTTAGTTACAGTTATTAAGGCATAATGTACACCACGGTAATATTTTATGCTAAATATTTCTCACTGTCAATATTTTTTATTTTTGGCCAAATGAATGTAGAAATCTGCTTTCAACCAGCTAAATGGCAGTACATTGCAGGTAGGCAATGGGTTAAAGGAACCCTCAGATGTTAAATAAACTTTTTTTTTTCCAGAAAAACAGCACATCTTAGAAGAGTAATTTTTCCTGTAAACATAACGATCTAAGCTCCTGATCAGTGCACTCTGAGAGCTGTTTAAATCTCCACAACCGCAAACTGCCTGACAGGAACCAGAACTTTCCACTGTAAAGCTCCCGTCCGATGGGAAAGTGCTGACTAAGGTTAGACTCCTTCCTGTCCCGCCCTACATCACCCTTATTTCTTTCTGTCTCATCAGCTGTGCAGCATACTCAGGATCCTTGAGATGAAGCGTCGCCAGCCAACCCCTTGTAAGAAAGCCCATTAAGGAGTACATCAATATTTCATCATTGCTCACTCAGAAACATAGTTATAGAAGTTTCCAGGCCTGAGCCATTAGGGGGCAGACGTCAATATGTTATGGCAGCAGGCATCCCTTCACCTCTTGCCTCACTCTGGTCCATCTAATCTCTTAAGCCAAGAGGTTTCACTCAAGTCAACGCTGGTTTCCTCTGCTAAAACAAGTTATTAACCATTAAGATCCCAAGGTGTGCATCATCGTTTCCTGTTTAAAGGGATAACTTCACATGATAATATCTGGTCTATCCCAGAAGATGTTTTTTACTTGTTTCTGCAACAAGAAGGAAATCCCTAATTTGGAAAGCAAACAAATAATTAATAGAATTACATGGTTATATAAAAGGAAACTGACAGGCCTACAATTCTAGCACAGGGGGACTTTGAGTCATATCTGTGGACACAAGTCTGGCGCCTTCAGCAGCAGTTATGACCAATGAGTGGACATTCAGTGACAGTGGGTCGATCGTCAAGAAAAAAATCTTGTCTCACACCCATAGTGAGTCAAGCCCTGAGTCAAAGCTCAGATGGAAAACTTTTCATTCCGTCATGGAAAATGAATAAAAGCCTAATTGCAGCATTATGATGGAGATTTGATTACCCTTATTTCAGACTATTAGAATTTCATTAGTAGCCTGGACCGGCCTGCAGACTTTTGGACATTTAAAAGTGTTTTTTTTTCAAAGCTTATCCTTTAGTGTCCTTGGGAGTGGAAGGTCCTGAAGTCTGCATGACATAAAAAGACTTTAAAGCTCCAAAAGATGTTATATTCGTATCATAATCATATAAATGCAAACATCAATATTTATGGATGTAAACTATTATCAATTTTGCTTCAAATTTCTGCTTTTCATTTTTAGCAGTCTGGATCTGATATGTCTAGTTCTAAAACACCACAAACTCTCTGACAAAGTGTTGCATTTTTAAGAGCACAATTCTTCATTTATTATATAAATATATTGGAGAACGATAGTAAAAATTATACAAAAAAATAACAAAACATGTATCATCGGTCCCCAGGATGAACTTACCAGAGTGCAGAACCTCTCGGGAGGATTTCCACATGTGATTCCGGGCGGATCCACCTTGATGCGCATGTAGTCTTTCATGGACGCGGGACTGGGCTGGCATGCGTAATGCTCCCACACCGAGCCTTCGTCCGTGCTCACCAGGGACTTGCACATGTTGTACTGGCCAAGGGCGGAGGCCAAACATTGCAGCAGCAGCAACAGCAACAACGTAGCCCGGAGGAGCATGGCAGGTCTGGGGAGGGGTGTATGGAACAGGGTCCGACACAGGGTGTGGGGGCCAGAGAGCTCAGATAAGGGGTAAAGCGCATGGAGCGGTGATCACAAAGAGAAAGTGAGCATCATGACCATGCGACTTTAGAAAAAAGACTTGCCTCGTAGCTTTTTAATGAAATCCCTTGGGTGAACGGAGACAACTGAATCTGGAGCTTTCACTGAGTGTCACCTGACAGATACTGACAGATACTGACGTCCCCCAGGGGAACACAGTTTTTTGCCTGGGACGGGTGATTTCCAAAGGAAAAGATGGGCGGATACTGTTACATAGACGAATCTAGGCGTTTACTTTTACTATAATGTTGCATTGAGTTGGGTGGGAGATGCTCGCGGGGATCCATGTTTCAGAGCGCCGGGTCCTGTAGCTCAACAGAGGTTCCGGTTGGGAAAGATGAAAAAGGATCCACTGCGTCGTCGGGTAGATCCATTGAAGGGTTCAGATCGCTTTGGCTCCCGTTATAGATCAAAAGCACTCTGAGGACGGAAGAAAGAAAAGTTAATAAACGATTATTATACCTGTAAGTTTCTCATTTTAAGGTCTAAAACTTTTCATGGAGGAAATGCAGGAGTTGCAACACCAGTATTTCTTCTGAAACATTTAAAACCAACTAAAAGCGCTTGTCTGCATGCTTTAATCTTGTGCGTAAAAACACGTGCTCCTGCCCGGTGCCTGTGATTCCTGCTGTTCTGCAGAGTGGGATACAGATGTTGCATGACAGATTACGCTGTAAAAAAATATCAGTCAAACAATATAGGCTTTCAGGTTCTGCAGAACCGTATTTAAAAATAATATTTTTGCAGCTTTCTATGAGCCAAGTGAGTGTTTACTAACTTCACCGACCCGATCAATGTTCTTACCGCAACCAGGGGGGAAAAGGGAAGCATAAAAGTTTTATAGCCTAATTAATCACTTAATCCAACTATATATTTACTTTCAAATCTACTGCTTTCATGACGAGATAAAGTTTTTCCCCCTCCCCATCGTTAATATAAAAACTTTAAACTAACCTTCATCCTGTCAGTAATAAAAGTCCGGTCCGTGCAGCCTGCCCCGAACCTTTCAGACTTGTTCACTTAGAAGCTGAAACACTTTACCGGACCAGATCAGGGGTGTGTCCGCTTTGACGCTTCTGCACCCAACCGTGCAGCATCGCTTACAGTAGGCTACTCGCTGCACAAACATTATTATTTTATTTATTCAGCTGTTTTGCCTCAGTTGAAAAAAATCAAGACGTTAGACCCGTCTGCCCACTCCGGCTATCCCGAGCGGTGCGTTTCATGTGGATCAGTCAGATATGTGGAGCGAAATGGACGCAAAGGTGTTGCAAATTTGCTTGATCAGATAAAACACTTACTTCTTTCACGGGTCTCTGTGCGGCCGGTCAGTACTATAAATCCTCTCCGACCATCCACTGTACTCCTTCCCCGCCACCGTCCTCACTGGACTCCCGACATCAATCTGACCTGCGCGCTGTTTGTTGGTTTATTTGCAGTCCGCCGGATACTTTTTTTTTTTTAATCACACCGTAGATGGTTGTGCTCTGATAGCTCAGCGGTGTCCTAGATCTGGGATCGGCCGGGAAAAGAGGAATGAATTCCACCGTCAGGGTGTATCAAAAGTATAAAATATTGAGTTTGAAGAAAGGCTTGAGCCCGCCCCGATCAGCCCCCCTCTCCTCCTCCCCTCCTCCTCCTCTTCCCACTTTACAAGCCTCGGGTTTACCCGGGATGCTCAAGGGCAGAAAGAGAGGGAGGGGGGGAAAGGCTTTATGGAAAATATCACCCTCCCTCCTCTTCTTCCTCCCTCCCTCTCTCTGTTTGCTATCTCTCTCCCTCCCTCTTCCTCACTCTGTCTCTCTCTCTCTGTTAATGCCAAGGCTAAATCCTTTTACCATCACTTTCAATCACTATCTCAGCTTTTATCTGCTCCAGCTCAGCTTCCTGAACCGGGCAGGTGTAACTTCCTGTGTCCAATGCTGCTCTCAGCTGACCCCGACTGGAATGTCAACTGGACCGCGCGGGACACGGAGGGGAATCCGATGTCATTGTAGTTTCGAACAAGTTCCTAAGGACTTAGATTTTGATTTGTAACGAGGAATTACAACACCTGTTTATGCAGTAGATGATTTCAATAAAGTAGCATAAATTGCTGAGTTTATGAAATTCAATACGAGCACAAATATGGCGTTTGATATCAAGTTATATTGACTGTTTTCAACTGTGTTAAACCTTTACTGTACATTAAACAGCGTGTTTCTGGAGAACGTAGGTGCTTTCCATGGTGCTGAAGATGGGGCATATGATTTCGCCCTTTTGCAAATACGGATTTTAAGGAGGTGGCTTGGAGTTTTGTTGCTGTTTTGTTTAGGTCTTGATCAGGGGTCAAACTAGTCATCTTTAAAATTTCCAACGACAATACAGTACCTAAATAGATTTGAATGCTGTAATGTAAGTCAATAATTTTACAAGAAATTATCAAATATGCAATAGTTTGGGAGCATTGCTCCAAAAAAGTTTAGTTCTGGAAGTTAAAGTATGGGTTGAAAAGAAAGAAAGAAAGAAAGAAAGAAAGAAAGAAAGAAAGAAAGAAAGAAAGAAAGAAAGAAAGAAAGAAAGAAAGAAAGAAAGAAAGAAAGAAAGAAAGAAAGAAAGAAAGAAAGAAAGAAAGAAAGAAAATCACAGCACAGCAAAAAAAAAAAAAAAGCAGTTTCAAACATAGATTTAACCTTATAATTAAAAATGTGTTCAAAGGACATGGCCTATAAGGAAAAGTGTGTCTTTTCAAATCCTTGTCGCAAGTGTATTATTAGCATTATTTGTAGTTACTAGAAATTAGTCTTTAATCACACTTAATCTTAAGGTAAAAAAAAAAATAATTTTTTAGAAATTCTCGAGATAAATTCCTGTTTTTATACATTACATTACCTTTTACATCTGTGCATTATTGCACAGCATTTCCTGGGCACTTTCACCATTCAGACACCGTAAGAATGAGGGGCTCACCAATATAACTTTGTTCCTTAAACTTGACTTAAATCATGTTATACCAAGCCATAGCACCTAATTAAAATTCAAGTTGTATTTAATTGTGCTTGATTTTAAAGTAAAAAAAAAAAAATAGAATTTTAGAAATTCTGGTTCTGAGAGCTGAATTCCTTTTTTTTTCATACATATTGATAAGTTACCCAGGTCCTAAACCAGTAAAGCATAGATCCCTAAATGATGATTTAGGGATCTATGCTTGATTATGCTTGACCATGATGATTATCCTTTTCTGAAATGAAAGGGATTCTTTCAGATTTTCCCATTTATATTCACAGTCATCCAGATCATGGCAAATACAAAACAAGCTTAATTTTGAAGGTAACTGGATTTTTGCTCAGTTTTTTTCCAAGGACACCTTTGTCACTTCTGTCAGTTCGCACCGGAGCAGAATTTTTTCAGATTCTTACTCTCTAACCTTGCCTGTCGGCAAAATAAATAAATCAAATAGATAAATAAATTGATAAATATACAAATAAATTAATTAAATTATCTTGAATGAAGGACATTGACCCTAGTTGAGGCAGCTATTGTTATTCATGTTTTGAAATGCCTTGATAGGTCATCAGTATACAGCTGGAACAACATTGAAAGGCAGGTCACTATTGTTCAAAAATAGTATATTTTATCTATTTGTGCGTAATGAATCCTTTGTGTGGTTACTTACGAGTCACATGTCCTTATTAAAGGGCAACACCGTTTTTTTTACATTGGCCCCTTGATTTTACGTTATTACATTATGTTCTAGTCACCCATATGAGTTTTGTGTCATTTGGAGCCGTTCTGAAGATATTCCGTTACAGTATATCCAGTATATACAGTATATCCAAGTAACTTCTTCCTATGGGCAACGACTTGAAGGCACAAACTAAACTGTTCATGATATATTATTTATGGTACGCCAGCATTCATAAAATGTAGGCTAATCACTGTCCCCCAGACATCCACGGTTATATTATTTATATTTATAATTTTTTAAAACAAAGCACAGTGTGTCTGACGTCATCCGCACACTGGCTACAGTTCATTCTTCCTGTACGATGAACTGCTGCTAGTTTTACTCACATGCCTGGAAGATGTCTAGTGCTTCTACCACAGATGATCTTGCTCTGGAAATGTAATTGAATGATTCAGATTAGCTAGCCGAATGAATAGAAGGGGTAGAGCGGAGCCACCTGTGGCCCGGGTTGCCTGTCACAACTCCAGTCCGGCACGCGGATGACGTCATACACATTCTGCTTTGTATTCAAAAAACATAAATATAAAAAAGTATAACCGCGGATGTCTGGGGGACAGTGATTTGCCTACATTTTATGAATGCTGGCGTACAGTTTAGCTTGTGCCTTGAACTCGTTGCCCATAGGAAGACGTTACTTGGATAACAAGGTCGAATATCTTCAGAACAGCTCAAAATGACGCAAAACTACAGTAATATGGGTGAGTAGAACATGATGTAATAACGTAAAATCATGTAGCCAATGTAAAAAAAACGGTGTTCTCCTTTAAGTATGGAGTATAACGGCTTCCTTTTCAAAATCTTTTTTTCCTACATTTCTCCGTCAGAAATGTTCTACTTAAATGTTTTCCTAAATCCACAGGTGTGGCAGTAATTAAGATGGAAGAAGCAAAATTCACCTTTCCAAAATGTTTAATTAAACAAAAAGAATATAGGGATTATGACATGGAGCAAAAATTACATTATTATATTTTATAATTTAGCTGGTTTATTGTAAATCTGAGTTTAAGAATAGAATAGAATAGAATAAATAGAATGTTGTTTCTTTCAGCTGCTTACAGAAATTATTCTTTAATCGATCTCATCAACAAGCATTCCCACACAATAACACAAACTAATTTAAAACACAGAAAACTGTTCTAAAAACAAATCCATTTACGTGTGTGTGTGTGTCTTAATAGAAGAATTGCATCTCCTTTAAAGGTTTGTGAATACTTAAGAGTTTCAAAGGAGAATTTAAAATAGAATATTTATATTTAAGTAAGAATAATTAATTTGTATTTGACAATGCTTGACTAATCAAGGGGCAACAGTCTTATAATTTTAAAGTTAAGCGGCTTTGAAAGCAGTTGGCAACAGTGCACTGCTGCAAAATAAAACAGTCTACCCCTGTGTTTTGGAACCTTAACTTATATTATATGTTTCCTTCTGTTTGCAAGTATCATATTTGTGCTTCCTTTGTACTTTTTGAATTTGCTGCAGGTTAATGTATTTGCAGTGTGTTTCCATTCATGGAAGAATTGTTCTGAAAATCTGGTTCTTTCAACATTGATCTTGTCAAAATCCTGTAAAACCGAGAGTGCTTACTTGAAATTCTATTTAACTCTATACGTCTAAATTTAAATCAAATTTGAAGGACACAGAAAAAAATAATTGATATAAACACACTGAGTTAGAAAAAATATTTGAAACAAATGTCCTTACACTAGCCGGACAAACAAGCTGAGTTATCCTTTTAGCAAGTCTTTCTCTAGATAAATTTGAACCATTTTTCACAATTGACAGTTTGACTCAATTTCTGTCATCACAGAGAGCAAGGCCAGACGAAAATGCCCCCCTCTCCAAACTGGCATCTCTAAGGATCAATAGAGCATTGAATATATGACATTAGCTTCCATAATAAGCCATTGATATATTGTAACACTGGCCTGTAATTGACATTACACTCAAAAAGGCAAAAAGGGCCATTTTGAACTTATCAAATAGCCTATGAGCCCTAAGACCTCCTGTATCATTTCGGAGTCTTAGAAAAACGATTTAGCACTGTTCATCATTGCTTGAAACTTAAAAAAGGGGCTTTAGGATTTACTCATTTACAGAATCTGAAACCTTTGCAGCAAATTGTCACATTTCCTACTCAGTAGCTTGGTGCTCATGATTTAAACCAAATGTTTATCACTGATTCACCGGGGGTTCAGGGAGAGTCAGCAGGGCTTGAAACGTGACTTAGTATGATTAAGCTCTGAAAAATTTTTTCCCCCTCAAATGTCTGCACGTTACACGTGTAGGCTGTGAGGCTGTTAGCATGTTGGATAACTTGTATTGTAGACTGCTCTGTGTTTTTCTGACATTTTTTTATTTTTATTTTCAGTCAACAGCAACCTATCTACATCTGTGTATGATTTTACACTTTACTAAATTCACTTGACTCTGCATCAATAAGCCTGATAGAAATGTCAGCCCTCAACATGATGAATGAGTGATATTGTTTCATGGAATTAAATTATGTCCACCCAAATAAGAGCATCAATAACAATAGAACAACTTGTCCAGGCTTATAGGCATTACTGTATGCTGCCAAACAATGCATCACTGCATTCATTTCCTTTGTCAGGGTTGGTCTTTTACTGTGCAAAGTCCAGATCAGCAGGGTGAAGATTTAAAAATCAGAATTTTGTTTTTGTACTATACATGTCATATAGATATGTTTGATGTTACCAAATAAGTTTCATCCTTAGTAATTTGTCAGAACTGTGTAAAAGACATTAAAAAACCAGATGAATATATTCTTAAACTCTGTGTTTCGCATTTCTATTTTTTTCCCTCTCTTTCTCTCTTTGTATTTTGGCAGATGATAGGACTGTCCATGTAGTCTAGCTGGCAGACCTTGATAAAAAATATACCCTTCATTGTGGAAACCTGCAGAGTTT